ATAATATAAGAGCTGAAGATTAGAGGTGTTACAAGAGAGTAACAAACATAAAAAAAAGGAGGAAAGATCAGGACGAAAGATTTTTGATAGGAAAGAAGGAGCAAACCACACCAGAGCACTCGCCAACCACCCACAATTACTATTTTTATTCTTTATTTAAAAGACTTCAGCGCTAGGAAATAATATGCATTCTTTTCCGACAGACAGATCAAAATGAAACAGCACTTGAGCGAGCATTGAACATACAGGCAAACAACCCCCAAGAACTACAAATGTAGTTGTATCATCTTTGGTTGTATTTGGACAGGAATTCAAAGCTCACAGAAAGAAAGAATGGATGTGCCACGCAGGTCAAACGTCAACAAAGAAAATAGACCCCATTAGATTGAACTACACGAGACAGAAAACTGAAGCGTCAGAGTTCAATGAGATATCAGTTATCATGATAGTGAAAACAGAATTGGGGTCATTCATTACCCCCTGATTACACATACATGACCCCCTCCAGAGATAATGATAATGGCACGGCTGATAACACAAAAGTTGATAATATGTGCCGTGTCGCGTTAACTGTCCAGCTTTCTCATAACACGTTGAGACAACAGCGATCAGTCTAAACAAAAGGTCATGAGACACTCGCGAGTTTTAGATACAAACCTTTAATAAGAAAAGTGAGATTGCGGGATCGCGGGTTCACGGGTTCGAGCGTCAGTCAGCTCGGTCTGACGTTGTTTCCGTAGGAAAGACACGTTACACGAACTTCCCATTTCGGCTCTGTCCTTTCGGAGATGGACATTAAACAGTGTTGATAGGGATGCTAAACCTCTACCATTTTCACCTGCTATAAACTCTTAAACAAGACTGAGACATTGACCCATGAACAAACTTCAGTTAATCTCTGCTGAAAGGATCATGAGTAAAGAGAGAGAGACTGGGACATTGACCCACGAACAAACTTGGGTTAATCTCTGCTGAAAGGATCATGATTAAATAGAGAGACTGGGACATTGACCCACGAACAAACTTGGGTTAATCTCTGCTGAAAGGATCATGATTAAATAGAGAGCGTTTATCTCTCTATACAACTTCAGCTCAGAAGCAGAACTCTAGAACCCGTCCGTCTAAGAGCTTTCACTTTAAAAGTTGAAGAAAATTTAAGAGCTTATAAACAAAGTCTAAACCAGGTCTTTCCAACTTTTTCAAAACCCAAACACCCAACTAAAAGTTGAAGAAAATTTAAAAGCTTAACAAAGTCTAAACCAGGTCTTTCCAACTTTTTCAAAACCCAAACACCCCACGTTACAACATCGTTGTTATCGATCCAGACATTATAACCATCAGATTGCAACAAAGAATGGCATTACATCAAGTGGGGCTGTATTTGGTGTCACCAGCTAAAATTTCTTCTCAAATTTCCAACTGCCAAATCCGGGACTGTCCTGGGAAACTCAGAACACTTGGTATGCCCGGTTGACTCCGTTTGCAGACAGGTTTTTTTTTGTTTTTAGACAAAATCAACAACTCAAATTACATCAATAGAATATCACTAGATGAAAAAAAAACATTACAG